GCTGCTGGAACGAATTAATTTCGTAAGTAGAGGTACCACTGTATTTCTCAAACAGAATTTCAAAGTTCAATTAATAAGCAAACTATTTCAGCTTCTGCCTTTCTCAATCACTTAAAAGAAAAGTGGGCTTCTTAATGATGTGAAAAAGATTAACCACTAACAATGCTACAAGCTCACTTTCATCTTAAACAACTGAGGAAGGCAGAAGCCAAAACATTTTTCTGAATTCTGTTCTGTTAATCACTCTCAAATATATGACCAAGAGACAGTACGGTGTAGTGGTTTCAGTATTAGACTAGGATTCCTGGAGTTGCTGTTGTATGCCTTGCAGTCGTTTCCAACTTATGGCGGCCCCAAGGTGAACCCATCACAGGCAAGATTTGTTCAAAGGAGTTTTGTCATCGCCTTCCCGAGGCTGAGAGCATACGACTTGCCCAAGGTCATTCAGTAGATTTCATGGTTGAGCGGAAATCGAACTCTGATCTCCAGAGTCTTAGTCCAGCACTCAAACCACTATGCCACACCAGCTCTCAGAAGACAGGGTTTTAATCCTTGATCATCCATGGAAACCCACTGGGTGGCTTTGGGCAAATCACTCGCCCAGCCTCAGAGAAAGGCAGTGGAAAATGTGAAGTCGTAGGCTTTCATGGCCGGCATCCATAGTTTTTTGTGGGTTTTTCGGGCTGTGTGGCCAGAAACTCTTCTAGAACATGGCCACACATCCCAAAAAACCCACAAAAAGAAGTGGAAAATGTCCTCTGAATAAATCTGGTCAAGAAAACCTTACAATAGGGTTGGCATAAAACTTGACCACAACATATACATGGGGATCCTCTATTCCTTCTGGCTTTTCACAATACTGTGTGCCACTCACGCACTCCAGCCCCCTTCTTGGTTTTTATCTCACCTGGACCTTTGTCCCCTTGGCATGACATTCAGCAGGGAAATAGACAACCTCCTGGACTTCATCCTTTGGTCGGTCTGAATTCTTGCCAAAGATCACCTCTCGGGCAGCAGAGGCAGGTGGAAGCGAGACGAAACAGTCGCAAGAGGAGGGTGGCACACAGGAGTGAAGGTCATTCATTTTATCTAAAGGAAATCAACAAAACCACAAGAAGGCATCCTAAGACTGTAGTCCCTCTCCACTCCGGACACAAGGATCCCATTTGGAGCTCCCCTGAAGCTCCCACCATTAAACCAAGGGCTGCATCCGCACTGCAGGAATAACCCAGTTTGACACCACTTTAACTGCTATGGCTCAATGCTATGGAATTCTGGGAATGGTAATTTGTTGTGGCAGTTCAAATAGTGTCAACCTGGATTACTTCTGCAGGGCAAATGCAGCCAATTTCATCCAAAGCTAGTTCATTCCCTCCAGATCACAGCCAGCAATGTTAGTTTGGACTCAGGGTGACCAGGGTCCAACATACACTGGAGAAATAATCCAGTTTGAGACCGCTTTAACTGCCCTGGCTCAATGTTAGGGAATCCTGGGAACTGTAGTTTCATGAGACATTTAACCTTCTCTATCAGAAAGCTCTGGTGCCACAATAAACTACTTTCCCCAGGATTCCCTAGTACAGAGCCAGGGCAGTTAAAGCGATTTCAAACTGGATTATTCCTGCAGTGTGTTTTCGACCCAAATGTCCTGACCGCAAAAGAGAAGGCACTGTAAAATGTAGGGCATTCAAGAAAAATGTAGGACCTCACAAAATGAAAACTAAAAACACACATATAAAGATCAATTCTTAGTCATGCTCAAAATGGAGGACATTTTGGAATTCCTCCTGGACAAAAGGCGGACATGTCCTGGAAAAAGAGGATGCCTGGTCACCCTGCTTGGACTTCAATTCCCAGAATCCTCCAGCTGAAATTCCCAGAATCCTCTAGCCAGATTCTAGGAGTACTGTACTGGCTAGAAGATTTTGCCAGTACTAAATCCTGGCTATGTATCATGATACAAATCTGCCTTAACACATAGTTTGCATGGTCCAGTAACAATAGTCCACCAAAACAGTGATACCTTTACTGGACCAATCAAAATACACAATATGTATGTTGCAAGCTTTCAAAGCTTCACTGGCTTCTTCATCAGGAAAGGTGTTACAAACCAAACAGGAGAAAGAAATTGAAGATGTTGCTCACAGGCCTGTTTCTCTTCTTAGGACCTTATCACACGGGAGAAATCCCGTGCACAAACAGGATTTAAAAGCTGGGGAAACCCCGCAAAAGCAAGTTGATTTTCACACACATCGCTGAAAAGTGTGATTAACCCGAACGGAAAGTAGTCAAAAGCCGCTCCT